AAATAAGGACACTTTCAATGTCCCCAAGGTGTCCCTTATTCGGAGGTTTCACTCACCTCTCTCAATCCCTCAGCTCCTATGTCTTCACCTTCAGCAGCAATACAGAGTCTGTTGCTCTAGAAAACAAGATGGAGGGGGAAGACCTCCCGGCTGGGAACTATGAAGCTCCCAACCCTCTCCCAAAGGGGGCCAAGTCTGCAGCGGCTGAGCCCCAGTCTCATTCCGATGGCCAGAGCACCTGTCTGGATGAGACAGAAGCTTCACCTACCTCTAATTCCACTGGGGCCATCTACGAGTGCGCCAACTGAGACAAATGGACTCAACTTCTTATTGACGAACATAATTTTTCGATAATATATTCACTATAAATTTTGTAATGAATTGAAGCAACCTTGTAACTTGTCGTAACTTGTCGGTAAAGGCAGGAACACACTCTCATTACAACGTCCGCCGCGCCGCTCTTAACGAATACGCGCGCATTAGTATAACCCTCGGTGCCCTTATGCGCAGCGAGGTCTGCTGGGCATTAATTTTATCGCGGAACCTATAATACCTGCGCGCTGCAGGTTTAGCTTCACACTGCTTCAGTGTATGTGGGTGCCGAGTCTAACGATCGTCCTCCACTAAATGGCCTTCTGGGATTTACTGTCAGGATTGCTACCGGTTTTTGTGCTGTTATTTACAACCACACGTACGTTGTTAGCTGTGTAGCTAGCTTTAGTGCTGGGTGCTATATACTATCCGAATCCGCTGCGCAGGTTGTCAAAATTATCGTGATGGAGATGTTCGTCTGGTCGGAGGTTCCTACCAGTGGGAAGGTAGAGTGGAGGTCTACATGTCTGGAGAATGGGGTACCATCACGGACTCTGACTGGACTAATGATGATGCTGTAGTAGTCTGTCGAAAACTGGGCCACTTCAGACCAGGTTACTCAATCCTCCAAGCATTATCTACTTCAGTTAACAATTGCAATTACCTTTCTTTCACGCCTCACTTATGATTCTATTGTTTTATACTCCTATTCTCCATGTGGATTAGTTTGGGTTGAGCAAAATTCTAGAGTGAACGTTCTTTCAGCAGCTAAGCCGACAAAAATTAATCCTAACGTATTTTTAATTTCCTGTTTAGAACCACTAATAGGTCCATTAAGGTCTTACTGGGCTATCTGACAACAGTGCTACAAAGCCGCAAGCTTACTGGCTTGTGTGGTTTGGCAAAGGTTAAGAGAATTAGTGTGACATATTATACTAAGGGAAGAATGGGAAAGGGTCTAAAAATAAGCTCCTGCACTGATCACACACCAGGCCGGGTAGCCTGACAGAAGCTGGGGCAACTTTCCTTGTTACTGTGTGCATGCAGCTTTCATGTGCTTTACTAAGTACTGTATGTACATTCATGGGTTTGTACTCTAACAAATAACGTTAACTGATCTAAACCATAGTATGTTCTACTGATAATGATTGTTGTCCTATATAGTGTTCAACTAATACAGGCGTAAGTCTATGTTTGTCACAGAAATGTATACAAACTTTGTGAGTCTTGATCTAAGCCTGTTGCACTATTTCAGCAAAGTCACTTTACTTAAGAGGTGTATAATCATTATGCACTCAATAGTGTCAGTTTGTGTATGTGCCTTGCATGGCCAGCACAACACATGGGTAGTAAACTGAATGCCTACACAGCCTCTGTGTAGTAGTATGTTGCAGCATACGAAGCCTGTTGGTAGTATATACTAGCAAAGGATAAAGTGTATAGTGTGGGTTACACAGTAGTTTGTGGCTATGGCTATTGCAACAGAGCGTGGATTATCTCTGGGCCCTGCCTTTTTCATTGTAGTAGCTAGACAGACAACTGCATGCACATGCTGAGCACAAGGCACAAAGATCTACATAAACTGAGATAAGATGTTTCCCAGCCATGTGTGCACATCCATCAAGACAAACACTTTTTGTCATCCTGCAGGTGCTACTGGCCACTCTGGTGCCTATTTTGGTGAAGGTAGAGGACCAGTCAACCTGGACTCTGTACAGTGCACTGGATCAGAGTACAGTCTGACTGACTGTGAGATAGAGGACAGTGGGAGGAGAACTACCCACTCTCTCGATGTGGGAGTCAAATGTCAACCTGGTGCGATTAAGTAACTTACACACCTGTTATTTATTGGGGGGAGGCTTTAGCCTCAAACTTTGTTTGTAGTTCATAGCCTCAAATGTACAGTGCAGTAGTGCTGACTGGTAAACTGCTCCACTACGTAGCTCAGTCTGTAGAGCAGTCTGCTACAATGTGTCTAGTGTTGTGAGTCGAGTTTCCCACAGAGAAGTTTTGAAAATGGTTTGTCTTGTGATTTGTCCTTTGGCAACCGTGAAACTTATAAATTTACGAGAAGCCGTTATGTTGAACTGTTTGTGATGTGAACAGAAAAACTCTCTCACTGTATTTGGGTAACTTTTGCATATTTCTGCATCTATCCCTTATGCTGAGCTGCCCATGTAGGGAGCTCTTCCTAGACTGCAGTGTTGTTGATTCGAATCTCACCCAGGGCAGCTTTTTTTAGAGTTGTCGTGGGTGTTATTGTTTACCTTCGCTTTGCAACCTTGTTGGTGTTTTACATACACATACATAATATTCTGCATGTGGGTTTTTAAAAACTCAGCTGAAGGTTCGTACAGAGAGGGTGACATTCGTCTGGTGGGAGGACCTCACAACTGGGAGGGTAGAGTGGAGATATTCTGGAAAGGAACATGGGGAACTATCAGTGACCCTCAGTGGACTTTCAGTGATGCCAGAGTTGTTTGCAAACAGTTACAACATTCTTCTGGAAGTGGTATGTGTTACTATGTACAATGTTGTACAATGTGTTAGTACAAACATTTTGCAAACCTGGTCGGCTAACACATGTAGTATATACACTAAAACTACGTTTAACGGGATTTGAAAATGTTTTTTAATGCAAGACTGTTGGGGTCTTTGTTTATCTTTCCTTGAATGATAGTAAAAGTACTTAGATGACAGGTTTTCCAGCATTATGCCCTTAAAATTGAGATTTTATGTCATTGTGCTCCAAATAAAACCTTTGTGATATATTCAGGTGAGGCAGTCTCCTGCTGTAGCTCATATGGAAAAGGAACTGATACCATTCACATCCGAGATGTGGGCTGCTCAGGAACTGAAGAAAATGTAACGGCGTGTAGGTACTATAATGTCACAGGGCCCAGAAGCCACGACTATGATGGTGGAGTCCAATGTCAACAAGGTATGTAAGTTACCGCTACCTCCAAGCCACTGTAGTAAGTGGATACGTATTTATACTCTCACTGTACAATATTGTTAGGAAATGAGGCAAGAGAAGGTGAAATTCGCCTCAATAGAAGCTATGGTGGCAACTTGTGGCAGGGAAGAGTTGAAATATTCCTGTCTGGTGAATGGGGCACTGTTTGTGATGATGGAGCTGGTAGCAATGATGCTCGAGTTGTCTGTCGTCAACTGGGATACAATGTATATAGTAAGTGGTGACATCTAGTTTGTAGTCTTTGATGGGTAGATACTTTGGTAATTGATCTAAACTGAGGCTATCTTTCATTCTAGGTTCATCTTCTCGTTGTTGTGCTAATTATGGACAAGGAACTGGTCCAATTCACTTTGAATATCTTGTCTGCACTGGCTCTGAATACAGACTGAATGACTGTGTGAATCAAACAGCGTCTTGTGGGCACTATGAGGACTGGGGTGTATACTGCTACATAGGTCAGTGCATTCATCCTATAATAACCAAATCCAAAAATGAAGGAAACCGCCCATTATCTAGATGGACCACATCCTCTTGAGGTCAGGTTGAGTAATACACATTATGGATATGCCCAAGTCTTCTTGTCTGGTGTCTGGGTGTCCATTGCTGATAGCTCGGGGACATGGGGAGAGGATAACTCTGAAGTAGTGTGCAGACAACTCGGCTACAATGGTTAAAAGATTTTACCACTAACCATGCATTGCAAGTGATATGCAATATTTATACAGGGACTGTGGCAATTTCTTATAACTACTATTCAATCAGCAGCAGTGTAGAAACCATGGACTATGTGGTGTGCAGTGGTAGTGAATATCAGCTGAGTGATTGCTACTATGATGTCCATGTTACCGTGATAGGCAACGTACCGAGAACAGAGTGTGCATATTGTAAGTATGTCCCAGTCATTAGGTGGTTTAATTGTGCAAACAGTGAGAAATTAAGTGTACAAGGTCAATATGTTTAGTGAACACAGTGTTGAATGGCAATTCGGTCAATTTATTAGTAGGCAGCATAGAAGATTTATGTGGCTTACAGATGGCTGTTCAACTGGATATATCAGACTCGTAGGAGGAGAGTCAGAGGGAGAAGGGAGGCTTGAGATGTGCAATAATAGGAGATGGGGAAGTGTGTGTGGGACTCAGTGGACAAACAGACACACAGCAGTGGTCTGTAGGTATCTCGGATTCAGTGACCTACCGACTGGTGAGTTCATACTGTATAGTGGGAAACTTTAATGGAAACCTTTCGTGAATTTAGTCATTGAGGGTTCTTTTTACTGTGTGAAACTTGGTGGAAGGGTAGCTACTTTGCATTGTGGGACATGCAATCCACAAGCATTCCGGTAAATTCTCGTTGGCTGCCAAATTACAGATTTCTCCCTGTCAGAGGTTTCCCGCTATAATTATACAAAATATAGTTGGTTAGACCATCATGCTTGAAATTGGTTTTATCTGCTTTTTCTACTGCTTTTAGATCTAACCTACTATTCTCCTGAGAAGTATGGTAAAGGCAGTGGACCTGTGTTCATGGACTTTGTCAACTGCACTGGTAATGAATGGAGACTATGGGGTAGCTGTACTTACTGGACCCACTACTATGGATGTTCTCATGATGACGATATTGGAGTACAATGTGCACCAGGTAATGGACATTCATTGTTGAATTGTGGCTGGTATAGGTGTCCACATCCCAAGTGCAAGCTGTATATTAATTTTTATGCCATCTGAGTATACATATGCATAATGTAACAAAGATTCTGTCTTACCTTTTCGGAGAGGCACCTCTGTAAATCTTAGCTTACAGTTATAATATGAATGACTTTAATCTTTACTAATCTGGGATTAAGGTATCCCCTGGTATTAATGAATATTTTGTTTCTTCAATAGCCCGCTGTTCTGATGGGCAGCTGAGACTAGCTGAGAGATCAAATACATATTATGGACGTGTTGAAATCTGCTCAGATCAGAGATGGAACACACTCTCACGCTCCCTGTGGTCTTCTACCAATGCAAGGATCGCTTGCATTGAGCTAGGATTTCAATGTAAAATGACTTAATAGCTTTATCGGAGGAATCTTGAAGGAGCTAATGTTCGTGTTTGTATATGCAGTATATGTAGCTTGCAACAAATTAGTCTCTTGAGCCGTAGCGAGATGAAGGATTGGCCACTGATAGAAACAGCCAATTAAAAACAGAGAGCCGACTTGTGATGTTATGAACACAATCCACTGATAGCGGCTGCTAGAATTAATGTGCAGAACGTGGTGCCTCCCTTTTATCAAATCCCTTTTCCCCTTCATTACTTGTTCCACAGATTATAGCTCTGCTTATGCTTATTATGGGAACAGTGGAGGACCAAGACATTCAAAGTACTTTAGCTGTACTGGGTCAGAACTTAGACTCTCTCAGTGTCAAAGCTATAACGACACATATACAAGATCATACAGTTATGATATTGGCGTACGATGCCGTCTAGGTAGGTGATGAATAATGCTCTAAACATTCATTAACTTCAATTGTGACATAGATAACTGTGTCAATGGTCAGATAAGGCTAATGGAAGGAGAAGATCAATTAGAAGGTAGACTGGAAGTCTGCTACAGTGGGAGATGGGGAAATGTTGGCGGTGACGAATGGACTGAGAATAACACTCGTGTTGTTTGTAACTCTTTTGGATATGACTTTTCTGGTACGAGCTGCTCATTTTTCTTCTGTATTGTGTTACCATGGCTTCATCATTGACAAACAGATGGGTCAACTAACCTTTCCATACCAACGGCCCCGTCAAAACCATTGTACTATCACAGTGTCAAATGCTCACGTCGGGACCTGTCACTGGAAGAGTGTGGATTTACGAGATACACTGACTTAACAAAGACTTACCCCCATACAGTTGTCAAGTGCCAAGAGTGTAAGTCTGCAACTCAATGTATTTCTCCAGTATATTACATCCAACCTACTGTGATACTTATAGCTCAATGCAAAGACGGAGATCTAAGACTGGTTGGAGGAGCTACAGAGAGTGAAGGAAGACTTGAGGTCTGTTTTGGGAAGAGATGGGGAACCATAGATGGACATGGATGGACACACACTGACACTCAAGTTGCCTGTAGACAATTTGGACACTCCACTGAAGGTATATACATACAGTAGTAGTTACAGCACAGTTCTGTTTTGCAGTAAGCAAGACTATAACACACGGAAATACTTTAGATGGTTATGTTCATCTGAATGTATAGTTGGAATGAGAATTGCAATATTTTTTTGAGTTCAAGGCATCTTTCAAAGACCTAAGTTAGCATTTGACCAACTTTAGGGCTTACAGCCTTCTGTTCTGTTGGTCTCATGGGGTGTCATTTATAACTACACAGATGTTTCATACACAAAACACCAGAGGACCCGAGTATCCATCTTCCTACCAACATTCATGACGCTGGTAGGCTGCTACGGCTCAGAAGATAAACTCACCGACTGTTCCTATCACGAGTCCTCTTCCAGTACCTCCATGGATATCAGTATCAGCTGCAATAGGAAAGACGATAGTACGACTCCTCCTGACAGTCCAACTGCTACCAATGATGATGGAACTGGTGGGAGCAGCGAAAGCTCCAGTGGTATGGTCTATGCAAGTCTGTCAGTGTCTGCTCTACTTGCCGTGGTAGTGATTGCTCTTGTCGCAGTTCTGATTGTGGTGTTTTTACTTTGGCGAAGGAAAAAGAGCAGAGGAAGGTAGGGTTATGCTATAGCTAAACTACATATAACAGAGATTGCTGCCCACTTGTAGTTTATGACTCTAAATTTTTAGATATGTTACTAGGGCCCAGTACGAGAATATTAGGTTATCACTTAAAATAGTAATATTTCCTTGCTCTTTTATATATTATACTGCCAAGTTCCCCTTAATAGGCAGTCGTAAAACACTCAATGAAAATACTGTTGTGCCTGAATTAATTATTCAGATACAGTCTGTTTTCACTATTACAGCTCTTCTGGGATTCATTTTAGCAACATAAACGAGACAGTCTCTCTGGACAACAAGCTGGTGGGAAAAGATCTCCCAACCGAGAGCTGCGAACAAATCAAGGCCACAAACCCTGTTCCACTTCCGCCAAGATCGCAGCTGAGACAAGCTCCGAGCGACAATGCGAGCACCATGTCGCCGCAGAAGGCGAATTGCAGTTCGTATGCACAAAGGTGGGAACTCCCGAGCTGACGCGCTGGTCCAAAAGACTCTCCCGCCACGTCCTACCGAGGAGGGGACGTCCCCGACCTCCCCGCGGAGGAGACATTTACGAGTCGCTTGTCCCGACTGATGGAGAACAACAGCACTATGGACTGACTTTGACAGTGATGTAATGATAACTGCATGCCGTAAAAACTTCCTTACAACTATATATTTTCAGCTAATCCTAGCTAACTACAGCTGTTTATTTGGTTCTAAAGAGTGCAGTAACTTTTCAAAATGTTTGTCCATAAATTCTGGTTATCAGTTTCCTTAGCCCGTCACGAAATTCCTTACATTCATCATTGACTTGTTCCACTTGCATCTCACCCAGCGTGTCGTAAATGTGCTCACGTGTGACCTCACGTCGAACTCTTCCAGAAATGACTCCCAGTGGTGTTTCGGGGAGAGGTTGTTCGGTAGAGAGCATCAATCTTCCCTGGGAGAGGTTTATTACTGATGAATAATACGGAGCCTCTCCTGTTGATTTGATACGAGCAGATGCAGGGATGATATAGCTGACATTATCACCAACAACAACAATAGAACTGTAGGGAGAAAGGTATAAGTAGCTATTAGGCATGTAATAAGGGATTGAGGCATACCTTTCTGAGTTTTGTTTTCTCTTTCGGATAAACTGTATGACAAAGTATGCGACAATGATCCCAATCAATAATACCACACAAATAATCCCTATTGAGAGTGCTGCTGACATGGTTGGGTCAGGACTAGTTTGAGTTGACATGGTAGAGTCAGTACTATCTTGAGTTTGTTCAATAGGTGTGCAAGTTATAGTAACAACATTTACTTCGAGCACATTATGGCGCCCATCTGACTTATACATAGGGTGGGAACAATCGATAAGTCTTTTGTTTGAATCAGAGCAACTAAATTGGGTAAACTTTACAGCTTCTATTGCCCCACGTCCTGTCTTTGAAAATGTAGCACCTGAAAAATTGGGAAAGAATTATAATTGGCACAATGTCATACAATAAGTGCAATACCTTCTGCCGAAAAATTCATCTGTCCACAGGCTACTTTTGTCTCAATGAAGGACCAGCCATCAGCATGAATTGTAGTCCATTGTTTGTTGTAGCACATTTCCAGTCTTCCACTACCATTTGAATCTTCTCCCCTTAATCTCAGCTCTCCTTCTCTACATGATGCTATACAGAAAACAACATAGAATACTCTAGTTTTATAAAGCACACTAAATACAGCTGTTGCTACTTACATGGTTTACAGGTGATTACAACATCTTTAACGTCATCAGTTTTCCTGAATATTCGTCTTTGTAGCAATCAACTAGTGATAATGAGTGGATGAGCAGTCAACTCCACTCCAAAAGACAGGCCTTGAGAGTGATTGAAGCTCTGATGCAGACAAGCTACTACTATCTATATATGAGCACAAGATAAATCATCATATCGCAATTATTCATTCTTCTATCCAAAACTTACTAGTTGCCTCATATCCAAAGTAACCACAAATAGTCTCATTGTTAAAATGGGACCACTGTTCATTCTCACTTACACCAACAGTTCCCCATCTTCCATTATGACAAACTTCTAGCCTTCCTTCCCACTCTTCTTCTCCACCTAGTAGCCTCATATCTCCATTATTACAATGAGCTGCATACAAGGGGGAACCATAATAATTATCTGCTTAATCATCTTCAATGAACTTACTATAACACTCAAGTAGTACGTCTTTTACTCAGTGATCTTGGGGCTGTGTCATTAAAAACTATCACATTGAATTAATAAGCATCTCTTTATTTTCTGTGCACTTGAAAACTTAGAATATCTGGGAATTCCACTCCATTCAACAGGTGTATATTGTTCATCATCCCATCGGTAAAACATGCTTCCCCAATCTGTAGGTCAGTTAGCAAATTGTAGAGACAGAGGTAGAGGTTTACACCAAGTAAACACAGATTTTTGGCCAGTGATTACAACACCTTTGAACTGCTCTATGTGAAGTGTGTCAGTGATGTCATTGGCATACAGAAAATAGCATGCACAACTCAGAAAAACTAGGTAAACTCAGTATTTTAGCGAGACTAAAGTGTAATGACAACCACTACATACCAAAACCTAGCTCAAAGCAGGCTGTGTCAGAATTTTCATAAATCCAATTATTTGATGGTATTGTTCTCCATCTTTGCTCTGAGCAGATCAAAAGGCGCCCAACAAGTCCATCATAATAATCAAAAGTATCGGAAAGTTGTAGTTGTCCATCAGAAACAGGATGCTGCATGGAGACATCAGGATTAATACTGGAAAGTTATAGTGTATTTATACCTCTTTGACAAATGACTTGCACACCATCGTTGCATATAATTTTTAAGGTAAAACTTGAGCATTTTTGTAGACCGTCTTGTTTCTGGTTCAGTGCAATGGTAGAGCTCCTTGATTATTGGTCCAGATGGATCTCTATGCATCTCCTCTAAAGTGACATAGTCTGGCAAATAGAAACCTTGGATAAAATTAATGACTGAAAATTCAAAACCGCATACTTTGGGGTGTGTCATTAGTTTCAAGGCTTCTGCAAACTGCTTGTCTATTTTTCGTCCATCCATTACCACACACAGCTTGCCATTCACCGTCAGAACATATCTCCACTTGTTCTTCAGCTTCATCTAGTTCTTTGTCTTCGTCTAAACAATTGTCTGAGAAAACAAAACAGGGTGTGTGTGTGTGTGTGTGTAGCTAAATCAGCATTGCAAATCTTCATTGTCTTTGGCCAGTGGAGTAACATTGCTTTGGGATAAACTGTCCCTTACCTATGCCACAAGTGACACTCCAGACTTCAGAGTAATAGCAGTGGCTAGATATTCTAACTTCCTTGCAGTCACTGAATTTGTATTCTGTTCCAGAGCATACTGGATGCAAAATATGCATTTTCACCTGCCCCTTCTCCAAACTCAGAGCAACAGTAGTAGTCAATACCTAGTTGCAAAGAGTACAGAGTTTTGTAATCATCTGGGGCTTTGGGAAACCTCATCCATGACCCACTATTTTTGGAGGCCCCAAGAACAAGGCTATTATGTTTGGGGAAGGTATGTGAGGTTACCATAAGTGCTGTAATCCAAGTTGACGGCAGACAGTAGCAGCATCATCTCCGAATGCATAAGTACCACAGACCGTGCCCCAGACTCCAGATGAGAATATTTTCCACTCGACCTTCCCATGGGTCCCCCCCAACTAGTCGTACATCCCCTGCTTTGTTTTCTCTACTGCCAATTAAACGGCAATGGATACGTGTATTCATGGCCAAAATATCAAACAACCTTGTGTGACACTTCACTTGCACATCATGTTCATGGTTTTTGCTACCGTAAATGGTATAGCCCACACAGTCTATGGTTCTATTTTCGTTGCCATTGCAAGTAACACTATAAATAACAATAGAACCAGTTCCAGCTCCATACTCACTACAGCAAGGAACAACTGCACCTAGAGGTATCAGATAAAGAGAGTCTCACCCATAACGAAAGTTGCTTGATCGACATACATACATGCAGACATTGTTCAGAAAGAAAAGGACGTCATGTAATATACCACTTCCAGAAGCATGTTGATAGTTTGTCTACAGACAACCCGAGCATCATTGACAGTCCACTGAGAGTCACTGATAGCTCCCCATGTTCCGTTCCAGAATATCTCCATTCTACCCTCCCAGTTGTGAGGTCCTCCCACCAGACCAATGTTTCCCTCTCTGTATGAGCCTTTAGCTGAGGTAATAAGCTATCATACACACTTTTCAAACGTGATAGTGATTTACCAGGTTGACATCTGACACCCACACAATCTTGCCCACCATCCATTAATTGATCTGTGCTACCTTCTTCTTCACTTTCACACTCTGTCACCAACTCAATCTCGGAGCCACTACACTGAATACTGATTAGGTGAACTGGTTTGTTGACACCTTCACCAAAATAAGCACCAGGTTGAGCCGTTGCCCTATGAACACGTGTTTTAATCCATAAACTTCCTAATAATGACTTATTATGAGCATTATATATATAGTTTAGTGAAATGGTTAGTTTACATGCCCTTTTATGCCAAGCTTACATGCAGAAAGTTAATAGTTGATCCGTTCATTGTGCAGTAAGTCATAGTGGCCACTTCCAAGATGACATCAGATGGACACTAGCTAAATTCAGCTATATTATATGCAAGGCATAAGCCTGCTACGGTGTATATAGCTAGAAAGACATTTTGTGCACCCTTTCAAGTTGACTGCAATTGATATACCTGTGTTTACGATAACGCAAGTTCGCCAGCAGACACTCTAGCATCATGCATTGCAGTCCAGTCAGAGTCAGTGGATGGCTACCCATACTCCGAGCACATGTAGACTCGGCACTCTACCTTCCGGCACTGGTAGGGAACCTCCTACGCAGACGAACATCTCCTATCACAGGACGAATCTGGGCAGTCATCTTACCTCCAAAGAAACACTGATTATTGATTAAGATGTGCGTTTTAGCTACCACTGCAGCTACTGATGCAAACTCACAGCATTTGGTGCGCGTTCGCCAGATCCATATGTGCCGTCTGCGACTGGGACGGCGGTATTGCTAAAGGAATGATCATAATGGAATAAGCCACCAGCTTTCCATAGCTTTTTAGTTAAAACTTTGGAAGTGAACAAGTTGCTCTATCTTTATGAGCAACGGCATTTGACCAGTAACGCATATATAATACACACTGCACTGAGACGATATGGTTAATTGTGCGCATGCGCAGTCTCAGGGTGGGGCTCCACCGCACTCTAAGCGCGACGTGTTTTTCCAGGTTTTTGTGGATGTTCTCTACAAGTATGCTTCACTGCAGTATGCTTTTACGTTTTTGTGTGGTTATTCCATACACTCAGTGATTCACTACAGTATGCTTCACTTCTCACTATGCATTCCAAATCTAAAGCACATTTGTCTGACCAAGTTTGGCACGAAGTACATTCCACACCGCAATACACACTGCCACGCCCTCGCTTTTTTTGCAGTAGCCAATAGGGCAGTAGTGAAGGTCAATAGTAGCAGAATAGTATCGTGCAGCTAAAGCGCCGTGGAGGCGGATGAGGCAACACCGTCAGTCACGCGCACGTTCTCTCTCTGCTACTATCTGGCTCTACCAAGGCTATCGGTAAGAAAGATCGGGCTGACGATCTCTAGCTAGCTATCTGTTCATGAGTGGCGGCCCTTCTAACTGTATAGCTAGTGTATAGCTCTGTTAGCTGGTGTAGTCGCGGTAAAATGCAGCTGTTTCGCAGGCATGTTAAAGGCTTCGCCAGGACGTCTAGTGTCACTAGTAGCGCTAGAGCTATTTTATACACTGAGTTCCTCCAGTACAGAATGTGCTGATGTGGTAGAGTAGAACACCGTATAGTGGGCTTACAATCATCTTCTGTGTGTCAATAGGACAAACTTTTGCGACAAATTGGGTAAATTTTCAGGCTCTTTACAAACACCTCGAGTACATACACTAAGCAAAGTGTCACCAATGGTCGGGCACATAGCTGTTTTAAGTGTCAGCCTTTTGAGCTTTGGTGCTGCCTACATAATGACATTATGCAGATACACGATGCTTCTCATTGTGATGATGTGGTCGTATAGTTGAGAAACTGTTGTAGGCCCGGTATTCTCACTTTTTATCTTCATGTGTTTGTGGTTTAAACTCAATTTTGGTTCCTTTCTAAGGCTCTGTGGTTACAATATTTTAATTGCACTTCACTCGTGCCCCAACTCTCTTACAGCTGGTGCTTACTGTCAGTGTTTCTGTTACCATCCTAGCAAAGAGGGAAGGCGAACACTCAGTAAGTATGTGAGGTCAAGGGGTGACTATCAATTTACCTGCGTTGTCACAGCTGTTTATAAGAGATGTGTGGCCTCTGTTTTCTAGACCTAGTACAACCCTTCTTTGAAGCACCAGTTGCATGACTGCAAGCCACACACTACTTTTCCCAGCATATATATGCACCTTCTTTTTGTGGAAACATGTTGTAGGTGTGCATAGAAAATTATGATCGTGCCCGTGATAACTTTGCTTGTTTTCGCTCCTTGTTATTTCAAACAGGAAGTGCAAATTGGCGTATTACCATTAGACAACCTTTTTTTGTCGTTATTCCCTGCTGAGTTGGTAGCTTGGTTTGGAGCTTAAAAGTCGTATTCTCGTATGAAGGAGAGGAAGGGAGAGACCACAGTTTCTGGTGCATCCCAATCATGTTATGCGGGAACAGGGAGCTTGCACAGTGAAACTATGCCTATTATAGCTTCCCGCAGGGCAGAGGGCATATCGAGTGTCAGTTGTCAATCCCTATCTGTGGATATTTTTGCTCACTAGGGAGCTGATGTCCAAGGGATACCTAGCGTATTAATTATATGGGTGTTGGACACACATGTTTAGGATGTTATAATAGCATGCACTTTGATCCTGCCTACAATTGGGTGTGTTTGAATTTTCCCTCAAGCGCCACTAATGAACCGCCCCTGTCTCCTTCTCCATACCTCTCTCCCTTCCACCTCTCCTCTAAACCAGTTGTAGCCAACTAAACAGAAAAACCATCCAGGGTTGTTGCAACGCTTTCAAAGAAATGTACAAGTCTTGCCAACACCACCTTCTTTACCGGAAACGAACGCCCAATTGTACGGTCACCCCATTCTGGACGAAGGCGGGCCCCCAAAGTAAATGAGACTTTGTAGGAGTGTGTGACGATGGAATGCTATTACGCCGTACCCCCCTGTCCACTCTGCCCGAGGTCTGTGTTACTGAGAGCTGGCCAACACTGTAATTGAGTGGGTTCTGATTTGCTATTTAGAGTTTACGGTTTGCCCATCAGGCGTGTGTTGCGCTCTTAAGAGTGTATTGATTGGGTGTTTGGAAAAGAGAGGCTTAGCTACATAGTCTTGTGCCACGTATGATAGTTTTCGACTTTTAAAATAATGTGGTATAATACTTACGTATTTTGTTGCATGGAGCTAAATTCATAGTCCTTATGGGGGCAGTGTGGTACATACTGTGTAGCTATTAATTATGTATTAAACACTCCTATGCCAACATTCCTTGAACAATTTTAGGGAGATTTAGGATGTTTTTGTGGCTTCCTCTCCTCCAGGTATTAGCAGAGGCCCCACAATTCCATTGTGCTTATGAAACACCTCATTCCCCTCTTCCATTCCTTACAGACGCACACTCACAGCTTACCAGTTGCTCCAACGGGTATGGAATTGTCCAAACTAATGACCGAGTGTCTTACCTCAGCTATGAAGCTGTACTTGGTAATATCAGTTGGTGATGTGGATACCTCCTGACTGAGCTACTGGTGTTTGTCGAAGAACTAAACTGCTCCGATCCCGACAGTTTTAAGCTCACTCGACTCCCCGTGTAACCAGAATGAATGCAACAGCTCTCTACTGTAAGTATTGAAAATTCACTGGCTCAGTATATTATAAACTGGCGGAAACAGAGCATGTTTTATTCTGGAAATATTCTCTGTTTGCAGTGACTTCGACTGGACAAGTCTTCAACAGTAAGTGTTTTAGAAGCATATGGTATTGCGAGTGGAGAGCTTGTGAGGTGTTTTCATGGGTCCCAAAGTATCCTTCTCTACCTTCCTTCCCCTTCCATCCCTCCACATTTAGAGCTGCCAGAGATCTTGTTACTGTGTCTGATAGTGGGCTGCGCATCTGTCTCATTTCTCTACTGTTACGATACTCTGCGTTGTCGTTGTGTGTCTGCGGGAGAAAGAGAAAGAGGTAAACAGCAAATCACGAGTAGCCTGCCAGCCAGCAGCCAAACAATGTGTAAGTCAAACAAGTTTTGTACTTCTAGCTAGCCATGTTAATAGTTGCAACGTGGAGGTTTAAAACCTCAGATTATTAAACATGCCTTGTATTTCAGGACTACCCTGAGGAGACTGGACTCACAAATCCTTCAGCCACCATTGAGAGATTCCCTTCCTCTGAAGGTTAGGTTTGTAACCAACAGATAGCGTTCCAACGTACTGAATTAATTTGGTAACAAAACTCACATCTATACAGGTGATCACTTATGTAATTGCCTGATGGTTACATAAAGCAATTTGGTAGACAGGTTCCTCTGCAGATATGCTCCCTATGTCCTTTGATATACGTACATGCATGAGTTGCATGTGTAATTCCACCTTTGGAGAAAAGCCAAATTGTTATCTATTGGCACATATGCTGACCTTATGCTGACATTATATAGTCAGGTTTTATTGTCTGCCCACCAATAGCACCACCCAGGAAAACATTACTTTATTAGACTTCAGAAGGGATAAGAGTTTGAGTGTAAGTTCCATACAGAGTGTACGGAAATACTCGTGGAGTGTAAAGGACCTTTGTGTCTACATGTATAGTAACAGTGTTTGTAAAGGAGTGGTTTTGCTAGCGTATCATGGCTGCTGCTAGTTTTTTAAGTTCCATTTCACATCATCGCAGAGTGACAGTAAGGAGTGATGGTTACAGCAGTGGCAAAAATGATAACGGATCCGCAAGAAGACGAAGGCACTATGTCTCGCTCTAACACAGGTTCCTTCATACTTACACACACTTGAACGCACAGCCTCATTGGAGAAGTCAAGACAATCTATTGCTCTCTGAATGCCACACGTATATGGTTGGCATCAACTATTTTTTGTATCACACCTTTAGCAATGCCTAGCATACCGAAAGGCTAGTTAGCTAACACCGCGGGAAAAATCCAGCTGAGTAACTGTTTAGCTGCTTGCATGGTTTTAGAAATCGAGAATCACTTATCACTGGTAGTTATGCTTTCATGTTATTATTCTGTGTGGGTAATTTTGTTTGGAATTTTGTACTGTTAGGTTGCATATGGGAAAGTGAGGGGAGGAGTGTGGGAAAGATCGTCAACTAAGGATTGAGAAGAGAGTTGCTATCACGACACTCAGGAAGTAAGTCTTCACTACAGCCTTCTCCAGCTGTTGCCTTGAACACCGAAGGTCTCTCCCACATGTGTTCAAGTGTGATTATTTACTGGAGTTTTGCCTTTGCCTTTTTGGTATTAAGATTTGAGTCTTGCCAGCTGAAGCTGCCCTGGTGCTCACTGGCAAGACTCTTAATCTATATGACATCGCCACCAATGTGATTTACTGAGTTTGTCTTTGCCTTTTGTTGTAGATTTGAGTCTTGCCAGCTGAGCTGCCCTGGTAGCATCAGTAGACTAAAGTCCTAAAGTCATAGTGCAACGGTTTCATCCACTTTTTTCTCTAGATGTATGTGCTAACCTTGTTGACCTGATTGGTAGGTCACACGTACATATTTTTTAATATATGTGCAAATAGAGAAGGCCTGGGTTTACACACATGCGTACAATC